CGGGGGGGGGGATCGCGGGGGATCGCAGTTCCCCCGGGTGAGGTACGGGGCGGGGCACATGACGAAGCCCCGCCCCCTGCTTCAGGCCGCCCCGCTTCCGGTTCTCATTCAGCCAGGAGGCAGGAGAAGAGGGAGGGTAAGTTGCTTCCTCCCTGCCTCTCCCCACCCCTGCCTGCCTGGGGCCAGGGAGGGCCTTCGGGGGGCTTCCTTGCACTCCCGCCGGCCTTGCAGGTCCACCGCCGGGCCCCTCACGGGACCGTTGGGGGCGGGGTGTGTGGCCTTATGACACACTTCCGGTGATGTCAGGGTGTGTGGCATATGCTAATGAGTTATGCTAATGAGTTCCCCTAGCTCTTTTTCTACGAAACGACCCCTGGCGCCAAGCATGGTTGCGCTGTGATAACATCATCTGGAAGTGACATCATCACACTGGGCACGTCATGCAGGGGACGCTCTAGTATTTGGCCAAAAACTCTGTGGTCACCATAGAGTGTTTAGTCAAATGCTAGAGCGTCCTCCGTGTGATGTGCCTGGCGTGATGACGTCACCTCTGGCTGACATTATCACATTGGGCACGTCGGGCACAAAGGGGCTCTTTGGGGTGGGGCTCTCCCCCGGCCAGCTGGGCAGCAGCGGATTGGGCCCCAGAAAGCGGGGGGAAACCCCTGCCCCCATGGCGGGAATGGCAACCCTATTCCTCAGTGGCTTTGCTCTGGAAAAGATACATTGCAGAGCAAAGAGGAGTAGCTACAGGATACATGTGTGGTTTGACTAGAAACACAACACAAGGGGAAGGGGTTAAGAACTCACTCGTCTTCTGTATATTACCCTGGCTTTTTTCCCTGTTGGGGGACCCCAAACAGCGTGCCACACTCTCCCTTCCTCCATTTTATCCTCACAACAGCCTTGAGAGTTATGTTAGTCTGAGAGACAGTGACTGCCCAAAGGTCAAGTGTCTTGATAAATGGGGCTTCGGACCTAAGTCTGCCAGTTCCTGGTCCTGCACTCCAACCACTGTGGCACGAGACCCTACTGAGCAGGTCTTCACTTTTAATCTGCCGTCTTCCCAAGGGCATTTTGTAAAACAAACATGCAGACAAAAACGTTAGGGACTGTGTGGCTGACATCTGAGTGTCTTGTGTCATGTGGCCCCTAGAGGTAACAGAGATCAGTTCACCTGGAGAAATGGCTGCTTTGGAGGGTGGACTCTATGGCACTGTGCCCTGCTGAAGTCTCCACCCACAAAACCTCCAGGTCTTTCACAACCCAGAGCTGACAATCCTACCAAGATACGAGGTGGTGTGTGCACCACTAGAAGTTTCACTGGCTGTTTCCGATTCATACAAGCTGATGCCAGAATCAGTTTTGTTAGTCTTGCTGTTGGACTTCTGTTTCATTTTATTTTATTTGTCTACAATAGACTAACATGGCCACCCCTCTGGAATTGTGTTCTTCCTTGTCAGATATGCTGCATATCAAGAAAAGGGGACCTGCTCCGAAGAAATAAAATATGGGAGCCTGAGTTCAAGAATCACAGAGGACCAGCCTGCCACAAGCCGGTAAGAACTACGTGCATGGCGGATGGATGGGGAAATGGTGGTGTCGCAGTTAAGAGTGGCAAACTCTAATCTGGAGAACCCGGTTTGATTACCCACTCCCAGGGGTCATTTCTTGCCGGAGCACGGCGGAGCTGCGCTCTGGCAGTAGAAAGCCTGGGGCGCCCCCCTGCCACCATCCCCCCCGCTGCCTCCCTGCCCTCCTCTCCTTTTCTCCAGCCAGCCCGCCGTGGCAGGCTGGCTGGAGAAGGGGAGAGGGGGCGGGCAGACATGCCCCCCTTCCCTCTGAGCCTTTCCGCTTTTGCAGAGAGACTCGGGGGAAGGGGGGATTTAAATGCCTGGGGGGGATTTAAATGCCTGCCCACTGTGGCGGGCTGGCTGGAGAAGGAAAGGGGAGGTGGGCAGACATGCCCCCCCTTCCTCCTGAGCCTCTCCGCTTTTGCAGAGAAACTCAGGGAAAGGGGGGGGGATTTAAATGCCTTTCTTTCCCTTCCGCAGATGGGGAAGGGAGAAAAAGGCATTCTAAACATACGTGGGCTCCTGCCCGATCAGGCAAGGAACCCAGGCATGCTTTCATGCCTGCCCTTTGTCAGGGGGTGTGGCACATGCAAATGAGTTATGCAAATGAGACCCTGCACCTCTTTTTCTGCGAAATGACCCCTGCCCACTCCTCCATCTGAAGCACGCCGGATGACCTTGGACCAGTTCTCTCAGAGCTCTCTCAGCCCCACCTATCTCACAGGGTGTCTGTTGTGGGGAGGGGAAGGGGAAGCGATTGTAAGCTGCTCTGAGACTCCTTAAGGTAGAGGAAGGTGGGGTATTGAAAACCAACTCTGATTCTCCTCCGTTTGTATCTCAGCTGGAGGGCTGGGGCAGGGGAGAGTGCTGCAGAGAGTGGAGTCAGAGGAGGGCAGAGAGGGTAGGCAGGGCAGTCCTGCTCCTCCTCTCAGTAGGTATACAAAACAAAAGCAAGGCAAGAGGAATGTCTGCACCTGGACCTCCTGCGAGTGTCCATCCTCAAAGCAGGAAAAATAATGATGGTCCTACAGGGGCTCCTGACTGAGCAGTCCACCTGGACGTTATAAGCCACGAGTTGAAGACCGCTGCGATACAGAACTGATCTGCATTGGTCATCTAAGACTAAGCTGTTTTCTGTCTCTGACAGGTCTCACTCTTTTGCTAGAGATACAGTGGAGGAGAGATACAGTGAGCCCACCACTGTCAGCAGTGACCAGGACACTGACCTGAAAAGGTACAGGAGAAGAGGGACATTGGCCTACTGGTGATGGGAGGGAGGGCTGCCAGTGGGGGTGGGGCAGTGAAGAAGGGCCACAAACAGTTTTATTGGTAACTAGCTGCAAAGCCCGTTGCAAAGTCAATGCAACGAGCTCTAGGAAGACCCTGGGGGGTGAAGACAGCCTGTGAGTGACAGATCTCGCAGTGTATTGATTCAGGACCGGAATAGCATTATATATTATGATAACAAGTTCAGGCCAGTCAGTCCTGAGACGTTCAATCGATCTCTTGTCCTACAGGTCTCCCTCTGGTTTGGAGGGGAAAACCGCACAACAAGAAGAAACATGTGAGAGCCCAAGTGAGACAGAATACAAAAAAGTGGAAGCTCACCTGGCAAAGTAAGAAAAGAATGGGGCACACTGCACACGTGGGTCTTAATAAAATGTGGGCGAGTCCCAATAAAAGTATTATGTGGATTTCATTCTTGGTTTCACACTGCATACAGCAGAGCTGTATAGTGCAGCCTAAGGTAGGAACCTGCCGCACGGCAGCTGAGCTCCCCACCTCGTGTTCTGATCCCTTCCCCCCCCCTCCAAAGTGGCAAGAGGTTTCCCAAGGGGAGGGATCAGAATGCCAACTATCAGCTGATAGTCAACATTCCGATCTCTCTCCCCTCCTCCAACTTCTCACCATGTCCCAGAGATGCAAGCATCTGGGATGCAATGGGGAAATTTCTCCCTTAGTACTTAGATGGGTGGGTGTAGCCATGTTGGTCTGAAGCAGCAGAACAAAGTTTGAATCCAGTGGCATTTTTAAGACCAACAAAGTTTTATTCAAAGGATAAGCTTTTGTGTGCAAAGCACACGTCTTCAGATACATTGTAATGGAAGTTGCCCATCCATGTCTATAGGTAGAGGGTGAGCAGCAGATTAGCATACAGCATAATAAAGTTGTTTGACAGATGCAAGGGCCAAACTGGAATAACAGGCTTAGTTTATATGGTCACCATTTGTTTGGGTTTAATCCCGGGGGGAAACACAGTGAAGGAAGTAAATATATCAAAATCAGAGATTGATGGGCAGATGTACCCTTCTTAACTGTGGAATGGTGAAAGTAATTTAGTACATGCAGTTGCAGGATGTGTCTCTGTTACATCCCAGGGAACAGAGAAATTCCTGGGGAGGGGGAAATCAGGACACTATCTCCATCCTGAGAAACGTATGGGAGCAGGCTGAAATCTTGCCTTTATAGAAACATTTTGGCTGGCCGTTTAGTGTTGCTAGAAACTCGAGGGTGTTTTCACATAAGGCTTATAGCAGACTTTGTTCATAGTGCTATAAATAAATAATATTTTGGCATTGAAAAATGGTTAAAAACATCCCACACACTATTACAGGTCTGGAATAGCTTGCCGATACACAATATGCCCCACCTTTTAATCCAGAGTTTCCATTTAAAACCATCTGTTAAAATGATACTTTAAATAAACCACACTTAGCAACAGAAACAATTGATACAGAGGGGAAAAAGGAAATCATTTAAGCCAACACAAACACTCATGCCAATCCCTTCTCCAAATAAACAACCACCATACAATACAGAAACAGTATCAGAGCCAAAGTGAATAAGGTCTGAATTCAGCAGCCAAAATAAACAAGATCCCCTGCGGAAAGCTGGTGGGAGGGAGTTCCACACTCGAGGAGTGATTGTGGAAAATGCCCAGCTCATAGTCGTCACTCTCCTCACCTCTGGGGCCTTTGCAGATGGTGTCTTAATTCACAGGTCAACTCATAGGGGAGCGAGCTGTTCTTTAAATTCTCCTGTTTCCGAAATACTTAGGACACTTTGAATTGTGTCCAGAAAGGGAAGAGCAATCAGTACGATTCTTTTACAGCTGATGAGAGATGATCCCGGTGATTAATGAAACACGGTGAGACTTGAACTGGGGCTAGCTTGCACTCTGAACCGCCGCAGGCTTGCTTCTTCTGCTTCTAAGGTCCCGTGTTATCTTTGCCATTGTCATCTATCACGGTTATTTATATAGTGCTTAGCATATCCAGTGCTGTCCTCCCCCCCCCCCCCCCCCACGACGCAGCCGACTTACAGCAACCCCGTAGGGTTTTCAAGGCAAGAGACGTCCAGAGCTGGTTTGCCATTGCCCGCCTCTGCACAATGACCCTGATAGTCCTTGGTGGTCTCCCATCTAAATGCTAACCAGAGCTGACCAATGTTCCCTCTAAGCAGTGGAGTCTTGTGAGCAAAAATTCCACTTTGTGAGCGACTGGCATCAAAGTTGTGAGCGAGCGACTTGGCTACTGCATAAATTAGGTTACTCTGGAGCCCTCCTTCATGAGCTAAGACAAAAAGGTGAGAGCCGGAGGCTAAAAACTGTGAGCTAGCTCACGCTAACTCAGCTTAGAGGGAACACTGGAGCTGACCCTGCTTAGCTTTCAAGATCTGACAGGACTGGGCTGGCCTGTGCTATCCAGGTGCTGTACAAAGATGAAACTACTAGTATAGTCCCTGCCTATGATCTTACAATCTCAACAAGCAAGATTTGCTTACATCATTCTCTTCCCTTTGGCAGATCAGGCTCGTTTTCTAGTGAAGGCAGTCTTAACACGGCTGGTACCCAAACTGAGCCCCGGGAAGCTGCCAAAAAGGAAGAGTCGGAGCTGGAGATGGTCAGGTGAGTGCTGGAATTTGAGAGAGCTCAGGGGGAGAGCACCTCCTTTGCATGTAGGAAGTCCCAAGTTCAGTCTTTAGCAGGGCTCTTTTTGGGCAGGAACGCACAGGAACGGAGTTCCGGCTGGCTTCCCAGTTGGCCACACCCAGCAGGAACTCATTAGCATAATAGGCCACACCCAACAGCAGACACTCATTAGGATTGGCTACATTAGGGGTGTGTGGCCTAACATGCAAAGGCGTTCCTGCTACTAAAAATCCCTGGGTTTTGACAACAAACAAGGTAAACAGAATAAGAAGCAAAAGGCGGGTGTGACTGGATGACCAGACTTCTGGTAACATGGGGTGTGTGGCCTAATATGCTAATGAGCTGTGCTGTCAGGTGTGTGGCCTAATATGCTAATGGGTTTCTGCTGTTGGGTGTGGCCTGTTATGCTAATGAGTTCCGGCTGGGCTTTTTCTACCAAAAAAGCCCTGGTCTTTAGCATTTCCAGTGAAATGAATCTAGCCGCTTAACTGCATGTTACGAAGCCCTTGTGTCCCCCACGTGTCCCTTCTGATTTACTCTGTGCTCTGGACTTAATTCCCAAGCACATGTGGGCCTGATTTTTATTGGATCCTCAGCATGCGGGGAGGTGGATCTAAGCTTCCCACTTGTGCCTTTGTCCTGACCAGCAATGACCACGAGGAATCACTGTTCGTCCCGGGGGAGAAACTTGTATGTAGGGCATCAATAGTTGCATGGATGATCTGATCTGGGTTGCCATCTATCCAACTGTCTATCCCTCCATCCTTAAGGTGCCCACATGCTGCCTTTCCACCCACACAGGTCCTGGGAATTGTAGATTTTAAGTAATCCCATGCTGAGGACAACAGTTAGAGGAACAGGAGGGTAGTCATGTTGGTCTGAAGCAACAGGAAAAAAGTTTTGAATCCAGTGGCAACTTGAAGACCAACAAAGTTTGATTCTGGGTGTAAGCTTTTGTGTGCACACTTCTGAAGAAGTGTGTTTGTGCACACGAAAACCTGTACTCAGAATAAAATGTTGCTGATCTTCAAGGTGCCACTGGACTCAAACTTTGTTCACTTATAGGAACAGAACAAAGTTGGAGTCTAGTGGCACCTTGAAGACCAACAAAGTTTTATTCAGAGTGTAGGCTTTCGTGTGCAAAGCACAGTTGAAACTGGCTTGAAACTGGTCTGCCTGCATCATGTAAATATGCTCCTTTCTCCTTCTCCTCTTCGACAGGTCCAACTCCCTCTCCACAGGAAGCAGTGCTGCCACTCCAGACAGCCACCAAGGAAACCACGGTTCCGACTTGGACACCGGCAGGTAACGAGTCCTAGCAGGTTGCAACATCTCGCAGTTGCCGTTTGTCTTTCTTGTAGCCAGACTTTCTCGCCGCAGCTAAGGCTGATGTTCGAGTGCACCTTTCTTTGTGCACGATAAGAGTGATTAGTGGGTTCGATTGGAGAGACCCAAGTGCAAATCCTTGCTCTGCCATGATGCTCACTGAGTTACTTTGCACCAGTCTCTCTCTCAGCCTGACCTACCTCTCAGGATTGTTGTGAGGCTAACCATGTGTGCCACTGCAAGATCCTAAAGTGAAGGGAAAGATACGAACGTGACAGATATGTAGCGCACTGTAAAGCTGCCTTTTCCCCCTCTGCACTTTGGGAGCTGCCTAACATGCAGCAATGAAGCAGAGGAGGCTTTCCCCGTCACTATTTCCATGTCAGAAAATCGATAATAAATAATGCTGAGATTCAGATTGCCCTTTGCATACAGTATCTCGTCTTCCGAACAGCCCTATAAGGTAGGTCAGTATTATGCTGAAGCTGAGAGACAGCAGTTGGCCTGTGTGGTATAAGGCAGCTGAGCCAGTGGGGTGTAGTGGATAGCGTTTTGGATTTGGAAGCATCTTGGGTTCAAATCCTGATTGAGCCATGAAGATCACTGGTTACATTCGGCTTTGTCATTCTCTGCCTCACAAAGTTATGTATAAGGGGGGGGGGAATAGGGTCATCCCTGAGTTTCTTGGAGGAAGGGCAAGATACAAACATGAGGAAAGGAGGGAGATACACCTATGGCAGGTGAGATCATTGGTCCATCAAGTTCTGTGCTGTGGACTCCCAAGGGGCAGCTCTTTGGGATCTCATACAGAAAAAGACTCTCAGTATCTCAGGAGCTGTGGTGGCTCAAGTGGTTAAGACGCTGAACTGCAGGCTGTGGAAGGTCGGTAGTTCAGCAGTTCGAAACCCGAGTGTGCCGTATGACAGAGTGAGCTCCCATCTCTAGTTCCAGCTCCTGCCAACCTGGCAGTTCGAAAGCAAGAAATTGCAAGTAGATAAATAAGTACCACTTTGGTGGGAAGGTAACAGCATTCCGTGTGCCTTGGTGGTTAGTCATGCCGGCCACATGACCACAGAAACGTCTTCGGACAGCGCTGGCTCTTCGGCTTTGAAACTGAGATGAGCACCGCAACCCTAGAGTCAGATTCGACTGGCTTTCGAGCAAGGGAACCTTTACCTTTACTTTATCTATTACCTGAGGGCCCAACTACACATTACACTGCTTGCAGGTCCTGTTAAGAAGTCATGTGCTGGCCATTCCATGTTGAAATTTAGATTCTCCGGTGGGGGGGCGGGCTGTTTTAGACTGGGACTAGCATGTACAGGGGGAGAGCGGCTTCAGAACCCCCCCCCCCCAGTTTCAAAGGCCTGAAACAACCCTCAGAGACCTGCTGTTTGCCTCACTGGGGAAACTTACAGGTATTGATGGGCTACAGATGTGCCAATGGGATACAAGCAAGCTTCCCCAACAGGTAAGGTGGCTGGCCTCTATGGGGTGACTGGAGCCCAATGCTCCCTCTAAGCTGTGGAGTCCTGTGAGCAAAAATTCTACTTTGTGAGCTACTTGGCATGAAAGTTGTGAGCGAGCAATTTGGCTACTGCATATATTAGTTTGCCTTGGAGCCCTCCTTCCTGAGCTAAGACAAAAATGTGTGAGCCGGAGGCTAAAAAACTGTGAGCTAGCTCACACCAACTCAGCTTAGAGGGAACACTGCTGGAGATCTCCTGGGATTACAGCTGATCTCCAGGCAAAAGAGATCAGTTCCCCTGGAGAGAATGGCTGCTTTGGGAAGTGGACCGTATGGCATCCTACATGGACGTTCCTTTCCTCCCCAAACCTCTCCTTCCTCCGTCTTCACCCCTAAATCCCCAGGGTTTCCCCAACCCAGAGCAGGCAATCCTGCCAACAGGGCAACTAGTGGCTTCCAAGGGCCATTTCAGGGCAGGAATATGGCCCAGGGGGGGGGGGAAGGCTTAAGCCCCCCTTTCCCCAAGAACCATAATCTCAGTTCAAACAGAGCCCCCGCACACCTGAACGTCTAAGTTTCAACAGGTAACTAGTGGGTCATGACTGCTTGAGTGGAGATGGGGCAGACCTTTAAACAACATAACTGGAGAGGCACAGTTTGGATCGGGGTCCTTAGTCCTGGCCCCAGGGCTTGTTTGTAGAAAAAGCCCAGCAGGAACAAAGCAGGCTATGCCCCTTTGTAAGCCACCCTGAGCCCGTTCACGGGGAGGGCGGGGTAAAAATTGTTTAAATAAATAAATAAATAAATTAGCATAATAGGCCACACCCAACAGCAGAAACTCATTAGCATATTAGGCCACACCCTGATAGCACAGTCCATTAGCATATTAGGCCACACCCCCATGTTACCAGAAGTGTGGTCATCCAGCCACACCCACCTTTTGCTTCTTATTCTATTTACTTTGTTTATTGTCAAAACCCAGGGCTTTTTTTGTAGCAGGAACTTCTTTGCATGTTCGGCCACACACCCCTAATGTAGCCAATCCTAATGAGTTTCTGCCATTGGGTGTGGCCTATTATGCTAATTAGTTCCTGCTGGGTGTGGCCAACATGGGAGCCAGACGGAACTCTGTTCCTGTGTGTTCCTGCCCAAAAATAGCCCTGCCTGGCTCCATTACCTGACTTGGCTATAAACCCAGTACAAACCATGAGAGGTCTCCCATGGGTTTTAAATGGGTAAATAGCCCCAGGAGAGGGACCATACGGGGCAAAGAGGGTAAATTCCATCCAGCTGGTGCCATCTGCCCAACCTTACTTGCCCTGCAAGTATTAGGGGTAGTCACAGCATAGGTCTGCCTCCCTCCCAAGGCAAACAGCAACTCTGCAGGGAAGCAACTGAGACTGGGAAATGGCCCGGGAGGAAGATGTCAAACCTCCCCTTGGCCTGTACCACAGAGCCAGTCCAAACCAGGATCCTCGGTCCCCTGGCTTCCGCTTTTGATAAAACAGAGGAAATCTCTTCACCGATGTCATGGCATCAAGCCTGGTTTTAAACTGCCTGCCAGGAGGGAAGTGACAGGCATTGTCCCCTTTCTGCCAGATCCACCCCAAGTCCTGAACAGTGAAATTCCAATGGCATCAGGCGTTAGGACCCGAGACCCACACGGTACACTCAACAGGAGCGTCCCAGAATAAAACCTCAGACCAGCAACGTCTTAGTTGCGCACAGTGCATCACTCAGGGACCCCCAGTCCCAAATGAGAGGAATCACAAGGCCGGGACTCCCATGCGTCTTCAACATCCCTGATTACGCTCCGTCTGCTCTCTCTAAAATGTCCAGTGCTGCGGAAACTTTGCAGCATGCCGTTGTACTACTTGTGGTTACAGTTAGGAAACTGTTCTAAATACTGATCCTAAATCTGATGTCACATAAATCTTACCACTTCTTATCCTTCCCCATTTTGACAAGAGGGGGGAAAACAATTGCCCTCCTTCTTTCGAGGTATTTGAAAATGGTGCATTATTAGTTTTTGCTTCTTCAGGCTCAGCATTTTGAGTTCTTCAGCCCTGTCCTATAATCTTGCATTCTGAACCACGGAGTTTTTGCCTTCTCGGCCATCTTTTAAAAAATGGCAGGCAAACCTGGATTTAGTATTACAACTGCCATCCTGTGAAACTCCAGAGTCTTAGACACGACGCAATCTCTCGGTGCATTGTTTTTCCATCACGTCAAACAGCCTTGCCGGTGTTTTTATCCTGGGACTCCCTATCACCTAAAAGACCCTTCTCAGCAATGTGACTGTCTTATTTTGGATTTAAACACTACTTTTTATTTGCCGCCCTCTGATTTTGAACTTTAAATCCTAACCTTCCTGCTCTTTAGGTTTGACTCCACTGTGTATCGTCCACTCCTTTTGCTAGAAAGTATAACCTGCATTTCAGCAGCTAACTTGTTAAAATTGTTCACTGTTTACCCTTCTCTGTTCTCCTGGGGACTCCATCTGTCTTTCACTGAGTTTGTCAAGAATGGAAGCTGTAGGCTCTGAGTTTTCCACAACTTGTTCCTTCAGTATCCATGGGTGTAAACTCAGACCCTGCTATCTGAATTCATTTCAAATATCCAGTTATTCTTGGAGTGGAGCCCTTATTTGTCGGAACTCTTTCGCTTCATGAAACGTGACTTGTGGGGTTTTATGGCATTTTTATTCCCACCAACTTCTGCCTTCCTTTATGCTCACGGACCCCCCAAACGCAGCTAAAGTCTGTCCAGCTACTGTTACAATTAGAACTGGGATGCAAGTTAGTTGCAACTGATTTGGTCTATTTAGCTTCATTAGGACTTAGCTGAATTGGGCCTGTTCTTAGTGGTGCCTTCTTGCTTCCTGCACTTCCCCCCCCCCCGTTTGGCTTTGGTTGAAAAGATCCTCCTTTATCCATCATGTATCTAATCTTAAACACATTTACTTGGATTCAGTCCCCAATGATTATTCTGCTTCCAAGTAAGTATGCTTGGGACTACAGTTTCGGTCTTTTTTGGCTCTTGTCTCTCCTTATCATTAAAATAGTTTGCAGTTCTGCAAACTATTTGGCCTTGTCTCTGGAAGCACAGACAGATGGGGGGTTCGTTTTCCATTCAGATGCTTTCCATCTGGAGAATTTTATCTCCTTCCCCTCTGCTGCTTATTAATACATGCGCATTCTTGCTGCACCACCTCCACAATTTGGACACTGGTGCTTTCGGTATTTTGACTCCTTCATCACAAGGGGAAAGGGGAACTCTCTCTGTTTATCAATTAACTATTCCAGTAATGAATTATGGCAAATACAACCCTTGGAGAAATCTTACAACAGTGACAATTTAGGGTTTCTTTTAGCCTTTTCAGAAGGGCTACTTTTGGCTCGACGGGGAACATTTATAGGATGGCAACCAATCTGGACAACCTAGCTTGCAATCGCAGTGTCTGGGAGAGTGGGCATACAACATCACCATACCTGAACCGCCAAACCAGCTACACCAGCAGGACAAGTTGTGGGATGCCATCATGTCTGAGCAGCCAGATGTACAACCCTAACATGTCGGAGATGAATCATAAGATGACGACATACATGAACAACCCAGCTTTCAGTAGTGGCAGGTAAAGAGGTTGGGATTGGTGCCCAAAAATATGTAGCGAGAAATCTTCAAAAGACACTAGAGGGAAAGGTGTATGGGACTTGGGTCTGAGAATTTCAGATCATGCATTGGGGGGGGGGGGAAGGGAAATTGGCCCCGTTAGGGGGGGGAGGGCCATCAGAAGTCAATTTTGACCCTGATGGCCGCAGTCATGACTTGACCAGAGTAACTGGTAACCCAGTAGTAGGTAGTAGTAGTAGATAAGAAATTTATTGTATGTAGCCTAAGGCCGTCACAATATCGGATTAAGAGCATAATGCTAAAAGTATTCAAGCAGAATTAAGATCGTTAAAATACGGGATACCAGATAAGAACAAATTAATGTTAGATTATAAAGATTAAGTACAGTTAGGTTTAGATGTTTATAATATTATTGTATACTAATATTTATAACTGGCTTGGCTAATTAGATTTACTATGGCTGAGCCTAACTGTATTTAATATAATCTAACATTAATTTATTCTTGTATTTTAATGCTGATCTTAATTCTGCCTGAATACTTTTATCATTATGCTCTTAATCCTATATTGGGATGGCCTTTGGCTGCATACTGTAAATTTCTTATCTACTACTACTACGGATAACCCAGTAGCAGAGGAAGGATACATTCATGGTGAAGGCTTTAGACTGGTAAACAGGGAAAAACTGGTCCGCTCTTCTAGAGTTGACGTTTCCATTGCCATGAATTAACCACTCCGCATGTAACCACTCCTGAATTAACCACTCCGCATGTAAAAAAAGGGTCTAAAGATGGGAGGTGCTACAGGAGAACAGATGTACATCCCGTCTCTGCAGAGGGAAGGCACAGAGCCTCCAGCTCATGAAATTTTAAAATGTCAACGTGGAATGGACCTTTGTCCTCTACAGGTGACATATTATGCACATGGAAATCATCTCACAGCTCTGTTTCCTACCTACCCCTGATTGCTGGCTCCTGAGCATGGAATCTACATGACTAAGGAAGTGTACGGGCATTGGCCGTGTCCCTCTGTGATCAGAAGCTTTTGGGGAAAAGCAGTGTTCCCAATCACAGGGGATGCGTTCCCTTCCTACACACATAGATTCCATGTTCACAAGCTGGCATTCATGGAAAGGCAGGTGGTAGGGCCAATATTCCCCCCCCCCCCGGACATCAATTTGACATGCATGATGTTGTTGTCGGTAGAGGGCTAGTCCAAGGAAGGGAGGGGGGACAGCTTTGTTGCAAGAGGACTGGTGAGCACTCTGGACAGGGGCAATGCAATGCACTCCCCCCCCCCCGGACTGAAATAAGATAAACTGCTTGAAATTGCTCCATAAAGGAGAGAGCAGCCTTGCTGTGGGGTTGCCAACTTCCAGGTGGGGTCTGGAGAACTCCCAAAATTACAGCTGATCGCTGGATGACAGAGATCATGGAGAAAATGGCAGCCGTGTGGTATTGTACCCCGCTGAGCTCCCTCCTCTCCCCAAACTCCACCCTCCCCAGGCTCCAGCCCCCAAATTTCCAGGAATTTCCCACGCCGTGGTTGGCCACCTTCCCTTGCTGGTGTTTATAGTTTTACAGAGGCTTGGAGTGTGTGGAGCTAAATAAGTTCCCTGAGTCTAGAAAACTACAGGAAGGAAGTGGTCGGTCTGTAAACTAAAAAGAAGGTGTGGACAGCTGAACAGTGATGCTGGATGAGGGCAAGCTTGCGGAATCTCCTTTCCCACACAGCACTCTCCCCATAGCACGGGAGGCGGTAACTGGGGAAGGGATCGCAGTGGCAAAAGACTGATGCTTGAGGTCTGGGAACCAGGCCGTTACCTGGAGGAGAAATGCCAGAACCACTTATGACCACCAGGCACCGACCACTCACACGTGTTGTGTGCCTGCAGGCGCCTGGCAAAGGCAGTGCTCTTCCAAAGAACTTTTGGGGTTCTTTGCCTGTTTCGATTTGCAACTGGTCGCTGCTGCTGGGCTGGCAATGATCTGTGGGGATTTTGCCGATGTTCTTAATTTCATCTGCTGCCATTTTGATTTGACGATGTTTTCATATAACACAGTGTATTGCTGCAGTGGGGTTTTCATTTGCTCCCCCTGGATAGAAATATTTGAGTAAATAAACGTGCTGCGCAAGGACCACTTTCCCTTGCAGTCGTGGCTCCCCTCTCTGATCCCAGCTGTGGTTTCCTTTTCTCCTGTCCTCACTTGCAGCTACGCTGAAGGGAGTGACGTGCTACTCTCTTGCACTCCTCTGTGTGGGAAGCAATGGTTCTGTCCCCCGCCTCAGCCTCCCGCAGGCCCATAGCTACTGTGGGGCATCTCGGGGCCTGGCCCCCTGACTTACCGGCAAGGCCCTCCGACTTCCGATCCAGCCCAGGCGCTCCCTTCGGGGTGTGTGCAGGAGGGTGTGTGTGGGTGCCCCCTGACTTATTTAAAGGCCCCCCGAATTTAAAAAAATCCTAGCTATGGGCCTGGCCTCCAGACTTCGTTGGAAAAGAGACTAGATAGCTAGACAGGCACACTGACCTTTCCTTCATAGGTTATGGGCCCAGCACTTTGAGCCTCACAGAGGCCAGTGTGCTTAAGAGGAACGCCCAAGAGTCCAGGCGCTGCTCTTGCCAGCATAAGGACACGGGGGATTCCCCCACCCCCGATCCTGTGAAGGGACCTATGAAGCGAACTCCTAGTTTGTGATGGGGGAGCAGATGAGGGTGTGGTCCTTCTCTTTGTGTTCTGCCTCCTCCGTCGCTGCCAGGTCCCCCTCCCAGTCCTTCTTCGAACATTTTAAATAGGGTCCCAGTAGACATGATAAAGATCACCGATCTCTGTCATTAGATAAATAGTGAGCAGGCACGGCAGCAATTTGGATTGGGGCACGTGTGAAGGGGAGAGGTGATGTGAAGCTTCAAGGCTTAATCAGTTTTGCTGGTCCAAACCGAGCCCCCCGCACTTCTGAACATTTAAAAGGGGGGGGAGTTATGACCTTCAAGTCTCCTTTGTCCCCCCCCTTTAAAATACTAGCATATGGGGAACTCAGTTTCAATTAGCAAAGCCAGACTGAGAGTTGCAGGGTTAAATCCCGTCTCCTCTTCCCTCATGGCCCACATCTGAATTTCAACTAGGTGCACACGCAATTGACCTTTTATAGACTGATTGAGATCTATCATTTTCATCATCCCGGAATGCAGTTCTTGAACGTGACATGTGCCTTTTGAAAACTCACTTTGAATATTTCAAAGATGTCCAGGTTTTTGTTTTTTTAAAACTATCATTTCATTTGCTGTCAAGTTTCTTGTTCTGCTCCTAACCCACTGATCTATTAATGTATCTGATTCTTCCTACTAGACCCTACTCCGGTTCTGCAGATAGCCTGCTTACCTACCCAATGAGAAGTCACAGAGTACCTTTCTACAAGGACATCTGTGATGCGGAGTCCAGGAGGTAAAGATGGGGTTGTGAACAGGATTGGATGGGGAGGCCATTTACCAATGTAGCGTAGTGAATGGAGTCTCAGACCAGGATCTGGGAGAGCGGAGTTCAGATCTCCACTGAGCCATGACACTTGCTGAGTGACAGGGCCAAGAATGCTATCGCAGCTTACCCTACCTCACAGGGCTGTTGTTAGAATAAAATGCAAAAGGAGAAGGGAGCCACGAAAACTACTCTAAGTCCCTTGGATGAAGGGTGAGATAAAAATGTAATTAATAACATGTCTCT